CCCTCACAACCTCCCCACTGCCGCCCCAGCGCCTCACGGCCTCCTGCCGCGGTGCTGGTGTTCCCTGCCGCCCCGGGCTGGGTCCGGGGCCTGGAGAGGGTCGCCCGGGAGCTGGCATGCTGAGGAGCGGCTTCCTCCCGTAAGTGAATAAAAACCAAACCGTCCTTCCCTCACGTCACCTTTTTCAAGGGTGGAAAGATGTGTTTTTAAAAGGGAATCTTTCCTTTTATAAATGGTATTACTACATAACAGGGTTATTTCACTAGCCTAAGCATAACATTCCCACTTGCCCCTGCACAAGAGTGGTTAAGTGAGAAGGGTTAAGCTCTGTTGAAAATGCTTCCCCCCCCCCCCCCCTTTTTTTTTAAAGTAACACTAGGAGGAGGATGGATTCTTACAGCCACATCTCCTTTATAGCTCTGTGAAGGACCAGCAGCTCCTGTCTGAACATGCACAACCTGAAAATAGAGTGTGAAATAAAAGTCCTTGCAGAGTCTCAAGAGAAATCAGGATGCTAATGATGATACTCAGCACATCTTTTAAAAGGTACTGCAAAGGCCAGGTGACACCTGGTCCAGGTAATACCTTTGACTACTGAAATCACCCACTTTGAAGACCAAACCGAAATAAATGTTCCCACGTGACCCCAGAGAATACTACGTACCCGGAGAGCCTGAGGAAAAAGCAGAAAAAAAACAGCGCAGCACCTCAAAAGTGAGATACATGAGCAGCGTTACACAGAAAAGCTCTGTAGAAGGCAAATACACCTTCAGACCAAACCATCGAAGTTAATTCAATTTTAAAAAAGAAGACTTACAGAAAAATAAATATGCAAGAGCAGCCCAAGAAGTGATAAAGATAGGCAAGGGCTTGCCTTTAATTTTTATGTGTCAGGAAAGCCACATGGATGAGGATTTCTATCCCGTAACACATTCACCTTAAAGCAAGATTTCAGAACAGGGAAAAAACTCCTTTTCCTGCAGTTGTAATACACCCATTTTCAGATGGCAGTTATGACTATGTCCAATTAATTTCAACAGCTTCTTCAAAGTTGCTACTTTTCCTGGCATTGCAAGAAGAAAAATATCATTAAAGTCTTATTATTTGGAAAGAAAGAGCAAATATTTACTGCAGAAGTTCAGTTCATTGCAGAAGACTGCTAGAAGGTAGCATGAGTGATTTACTGCTTTCATTATTCAAGTTAAATAAATCTCCTCCTTTCCAAGCTATTGAATATAGAGTTATGCTGGCAGAGTGGATTACATTTGATCTATGTACCATGACAAGTACTGAAAATTGTGGGCTTCATTGCTATATTCACCCACTCCTTCCTGAACATAAGAAGAAAGTGTCAATACACAGAGCAGCCTTTGCTCTGTTCCTTCAGCATAAGAAAGCACAAAGCTGCTCTAGAGATGTAATGAGTATACAGTCTGACACCATGGAAACTAAGATAAACACCTTTTAACTCTTTCAACTAACCTTCAGGGTGTGGCATGAGACAAATTTTCCTATTCATGAACATTTTAGTTGCATATATCATAGTTCGTGACAGGCTTGCATTACTGCTAACCGAGGCTGCTTTTTTTTTTTTTTGTTTTTAAGTGCATGGATGAAATTCAATTCACTGTGGAAGCAGACAGGCTATCTGATTCAATCTGGTTTCTGTATCATTTGAAAATGAAAGTATTTAAATGTACCGTAATTGCTTCAGAAGAATGAGAAGATGAGTTTCCTGCATTGCTCAGCAGATGGGCATCTCTGATACCAACCCACAGTCTTTTCTCTGTATTTCTTTCACATAGTTTGGGAGGCTGATAAGCATGCTACAAGAACTTGGACAACGTTTAGAGATTCTGCTCCTTACTGGGATTTGTTATCACTTTATCACAGTCTGCCAGCCTACCCATACCACACCCAAACACAATCAAACCACCACAGAAAAAGAAAAATCTGAAAAATGAAACCCCACAGTTTTCAACCACTGCTCAAAGTACAATGAGTTGTCTTGTTTATTTTATAGCCTGCTTGATCTACAGAGTTGTCTTCAGTAGAACCAGGAAGAGTCCCCATGCAAACAAAACCCTTAAGTTTACTTGCTGTTAAGTTTAGCATTTTGACTCTAGGAAGAGCAAGCCTTGTTTCATACCATCACTCTAGCACCAGAGGTGTCACCACAACTGCCACCTAAATCAGAAACCAAAGACTTGAGTACCTAGCAAGTTTTGCCAGGAAATTTAGAAACAAAAACCAGAATCATGAAGGAAAGTTTTATTTGACTTGTAATGCCCACATCCTAAGATTAAAGGTATTTAAAAATAAAAAAATTAGCTGCAAAGAAAAAGAAAGAAGCAAAACAAGAACAGATTTTTACACCTTTAAGAATTCAAGAAAAAATAGGCACAAGTTTACATTCATTAGTTTCAGATATGGCAGAGGAATGTTCTACTGAAGAGGGGTAAATAAAATCCCGCTTTCCCACCTCCATGTGTGAGACAACACAAGCCATGCTCTTCAAAGCCATACTGATCTCATAGATACAAGGCAGATTTCTTCCTTTTTTTCTTTTTATTAATGTATTTGTGCTTTAAAGATCATAAAGACCCTCCAAGAGCCATTTGGTATAGTCTCTACATACATATTAAAGTACTATGTACTTTAACCACTGGTGAAGCTTGTTACAACCTCCACATAAAAACTGTAAGTCATGCATATTTGAAATTCTGTTTAAGCATCAGAAGCTATTGAAGGATTTTATTTCATAGCCACTAAGCCATTTTAAATCCCCATCAGTATTGAAATCTTGCAAGTGTCAGCCCAGAATGATTTAACCCCTTGAGAATAAGGGTTCATTACAAGAAAGGCAAATACCTTATCTCTAGAGATTCTATCCGAATACGTTATCTCATCTGCTACTAATACTGAAGAATTTCCTTCCTACAATATACTGGGGAAAGAGGGATTTTCTAGTGATCTCTTATGAAGCCAGAGGGCAGGCAGTTGTTCTGTCATAACCTTTTACTCTACCCTGCAAAACAGATGGGTACAAGGTGGTTGCCATTTTGGCCAAGCCCTGCTCTGGATGGAATCAGTGGGAGCAGCCTGAGCCCCTGCTCGGGGTTGCAGCCAAAGGAGCTGAATGCAGCAGGCCACTGACCACCACCCCTCAGGTCAGGGAGAGCTTCTTCCACAGGAACAGCTCCTCTGATCTGAACAGAGCCTTCAGAGCCTGCAAACACCTTTCTTCTGCCTTTCCTCTCAAGCTATGCTGGGACTGGGGAGGGAAAAAGAGCAGCAATGAAATATCACGGGGTGGGGGCAGCAAGTAGAGAAGTTTAATATCGTCCCCAGTAAAGAGAAAATCAGTTTGTCTCAGCAGACACCCTTGGCTTGTGCAGGAGCAAGTTAGTGTTGGCAAGTGGAGGGAGAGACTTCAACCCTCAAGAAGCTGCAGATGTTCGAGGAAGATCCCTCTTTACCTTCACTGGGAGGGCAGCATACCCTATTTGCAGTAAGGGCTAAGGAAAAGCATAAAACAGTAATAAAACTGTCTTTCTTCCATTTGATTGATTAGGAATTTACAATATCTTAGCTTAAAAAGCCACAGTGCAAGTTAGTGTTTGCTTCATGGGGACCCTGTTTCAGTATCCTCTCCCGCAAGGATATGAAAAAACCAAAGTCAGCAGCCAGTGTTCTTGTCTGTACACAAAGCAGGCAGGCTGCCTCAAGCACTGAGGCCAAAAGACACTCAAAGTAGTAAATAAATACACATAAAACAACTCTAAAAATGAGAAATTAACAGCACTGATTGTTTAGAATTACAATCCATCTTATTACATTAATCTTCACATTTTAGCATCTTTTTAACCACTATACAAAGCTGAAGTTACTCTTCTAAACCAGCCTTACAGGAGCACAAAGCACTAAAAACTTTTTTTTGGCAAAGTAACTTGCTTTCAGAATGTAACATACTTTTGAATCACAGTTTACGTATAGCAGGTGTGTTGTGCTAATACACATCCTCTGTTTCTTCCCTCGCTGCATGCTGCCAGGAGCAAGGCATCTCAGAGACCTTTCCTAGTTTCAATCGCTGTTTCTTAAATCCTTCTCATAACAGTTTATTTCATGCAGCCTCACCAGGATCAGCTGCTCCTCACTTCTGCCTCAGCACTGTCTTGTTTATTGCATTAATCTAGTCTTCAGGATAAACCACATCATTCTGATGTGCTCATACAGCAACAGATGTTACGCGCTCTACACTTACCCTCTTGCAAGTATCTCAGGAGCATTTATCTACTTCTTTTACATCTTCCTTCTTACTTTTTCCCTTTTTACTTCCTTCCTGCTTTTACCAGCAGGATCCGCATTAGATATCTAAAGAGGAAGAAATAAGGTATTTGTATTCTCCAAACCCATGCACTGACTTTCCATGCATATGGAAACTCCACATTCTTACTTTTTTTTTCTCCTGCAAAAAATAGGGCTAGATAAGATACCTTTTACCTGGAACAGACACAAGGGGTAACTAATTAGTCTGGAGAAAAAAAACCAACAAAGTCCATGTTTTTGTGAACCTCATTTTCTTCTCCCTGAAGACCTCCTCATTCTGAGGCTGGGACTTGAAGCTGCACATGTGGACTGAAACAGGAAAAAGAACAGGCTGGACCCTCGACCCTCATCTGTGGCATCGCACTCACAGAGGACTCAGCAAATCACTGCAAACCTCGTACAAAAGCCAGGACCACTGCAAGTCCAGCACAATCCACTGCCACTACCCTACACTAGTATTTGACTCAGCACATGTCCCAAAGCAGCCAGATTTCAGGTGC